TAAGCCTTAAAACAAATCGCAGTTGAATTACGAAGAGCGAACTGCAGTGCTAGCTAATGTTCAGAAAGTGGCAACAACAAAAACGAACAAATTGAAGGAGCCTCAATAAATAATATATCCTAACACTGTTACTACGATCGATACCAACGAATTCAATATTTGCCAATCACGTATACATCCACAACTTCACAAATGGAATCGGTTTGCAAACCGATTCTATCTCTTATATATATATACATGTAATAAATGAGAATCGTTTGCAATCAGGCATAAAAGTTGAAACAAACGTTCCACGATTCCAGTTATACTTAATGAAATTAGAGAAATACTTTTTTCTTGGTTTGCTTCGATTTGAATTTTGAAAAACTTCAAAAGATCTTATCTCTGACACATTTTTAGCTAAGGAAATGAAGGCGTATATGTCTGATTGTGGATGATAGTATTGATGTCTGCATATGGGCAAAGAAATACCTACAACTGATTCAACAATGTCTTCTTATCAGGGTGTGACTGCGAATAGTGCCTTTTATATAGTTCTAAGAAATTTATATGAACTCACAGAACTCTTTTTTAGCTTCTGCTGATTAGGGTGTAGGAGGAAATCAAGGTAATTTCTATATACAGTGGAATTCATAAAACGAAGTTATTTCGCTTACTCAGAATATATAAATAATAGTATAGTTTTCTATCTAATAAAGTACACCATCAAGCTATCAACAAAACCTACCGATAACAGGACGTATTTAACATTATCGAACTTTTGCAAGAATCTAGATTATTAGATTCTATGAGAGTGTCATGGATATCGACACATGAATCTTTACCCATTGCGATGACACCTCGCACGATGTGGGTGCGGCAGAATTCTCACACATTGATTTGTACACACCTTTAGGACATCTCGCATAGTGTCGGTGCCACATAAACGTTACTTGCCTGCTTGAACTCATCTCTAGGGTCTGACAGTAGTTGTAATTGTCTTCCTCAGCGTTTGTCTAGTTCTGATAAGCGGAATCTAACAGTTCCCAAATTCTCAATCTTACATGAGCTGCACCGTCATATCCAGTCACAATCAATAATACATACATATTGCTTATTGGCCAGCATTTTATTTTTCCATTATTGATTCACGTTGTTGTTGTTCAACATTGATTTCTTCCGGTTCAGCCCTCTCAATAGTGCGAACATCTTGTGGATCTGGATGAAAACCGATGCACTATGGTTTTCTATGCTAAGTACAAAGAGTAGATATCTAACTTACCATTATCTGTTGAATTGATGAATTTTCCTGAACAAGCATTTCGCTATCTGAAAGATCCTTGTTATTTTTTTCACGAATTAATCATCGATATGAAATTATTGGAGAAAGACTTAGAGTATTTCAAAAAAAAACAGATGAATACTTTTTTCTCTTATTATTCGATTAGAAATAGAAAAAGATTTAATTAATAACGTACTATTTCAACTTATTTTGTTTATCAAATAAACGAAAACGAAATAAAAAATTTTCTTTGACAATAACTTATCGATGCTCTACTATAAAAATATGACACTTTTCACAAATGATTTCTTTTGAAAATATCATTGATCATCTCTATTTTAAGGTGGGTGTGGGTAGCAGTGTCAGCTTCGGGTTCCGTTCCCAGGAACCCGGAACCCGTTGTGGATAACCGTTCCTATGAACCCAGAAACTGATACTGACTTGATACAATTTGACAGAATATGTATGTCAAAATATCTCAAGATGATAAAAAATACGTGGGAATAATTTTCTAGGAGAATTACCGTACCCGGGAACGCGGAAACCACGATGGACTCTCTTACATTAGAATCAGAAATCTGGGTGGGTTCCCAAATCTAAAGATCCGATCAGGGTTCACATTCCTAGGAACGAAAACTCAAACCGAGCTCCGCGTTCCTACAAAAAACAAACGGGTTCCCAGAAATAGGTACCCGGTAACCCAAGTGGCCAAGAACCAGAGATGAAACCGGTCTGAAAAGTCAGACCAGACCGAACCGGCAACTGGCCTGTCTATCAGTGACGAATGATATATCGATAATTCACAGTACCAGAGAAACAGTAGTTTAGACGTGGAAACTTCGGTTTATCGTGTGACAAACTTGATGCGCCAAGTTGTATCACATACCTGCTATAGAAATGGAACCAGTTTGAATCTTTGACGTCTGGTACTAGTCTAAAAAGGTCGAACAGATCGGTCTACTGATTACCGGCTGGGCTACTTGTTACCGACCGATCTGGAACTTGTATCGGTACCGAAACGAACCAACCGGTAGCCAGTACCGGCTCCATCTCTGTCGAGAATCCTGACATGCCTAGGTGTGGTTTCGGTGGACTTGGGTCGATTCGGGAGGCGTGTGAATATGGTGGGTGTGGGTGTTGGATTTGGTAGTGCACATGGATCTTTTCTTCACCCAGACCCAGCCCCACATCCATTTCTTCTTAAACGAGAATAATTTTCCCATCGATTGGTTCAATAGTCCACTGCTGTTTTCTGCAAGTACACAATATTTGAATAGTACATTTGAGGAAAAACATTACTGAAAGAGTTTATATTTGGTCTATCAAGAATAAATATGAATGAAACAAAAGGGATGCCTTCTGTTGGTATGTGTTCTTGTCTGTGTTCATTCACATGTCGGAAGGTATGCGGGTATATTTAAATGGCCTGTCTAGCTAGCCGGATGGCTACTTTGCGTAGGTGCTCCGTTCAAGTGTGGCATTCCGATTACAGCAACATTATCGGCTGATATGCTAGTAAGCATACGAATTTATAGTAGGATTTTCAAGAAGTATAGCGCATTTTCACGATAGTATCACGAATGCATTTTATTTCATAACCTCTCAGAAAATTGAAGATAATCTCTTTTTGCGGGTTCTTGCAGATGCTGTAGCCGTCGTGTAGTTCATTTAGGTTTTTGTTGAGTATCATTGTGTATGTATCAGTATAATTAGATGAGTTTATAACAAAAATCATAACACAAACCCGCATGCCATTGTAAACAACGAGACTGGAGCTAATATTAATGTCTACAAAGACCCACCGTTTTGTAACGTTTGATACTAGCTTTTTTTGAAGGCGCAAAAGCAGTATATAATACTGAAACAGTCAAATATTCAGTCGAAGACCAAGTGAGTCACACAGACGAGCGGGGCTTATATTTGTTAATGGCTATGGATGTCAGCTTCGTTGAGGAGTGCAGGTGTGAAGATAATTAATTAGCACAGACAATCCATGTCATTTGCGTTTAGGCTTAAAAGTAGTATCGATCAGTTTTTCGTTGACTGATCATCTGGTTCATAGAACACAACTAGCGGCGATAGTGGAGGTAAAATTGACATTTAACTTCACATCAACAGAATTTCAACCTCGATAAATCATATGCTTTTTTTAAGGTTTCTCTTGTTATTTTCGCATTAATCGTTAGTCTGTGAGAATAAGCTCGTTCTCAATCTTGAGAGTGTGTGTCTGAGTGTTTTTAGCATACAAAAATCGTTCATACACCGCTGAGTCTGCTAATGTTGGGGAAATAAAATCAAAGCGTTCTATGTGATCAGGATGTCATGGAAAGATTATAAGAAACTGGCTTTCATTGGTTTAAATAGTGTTCGTTCACTGAGTCCAGTAGAAATTTGATGTGTAAAGAACAACAGACCTTATCTGAGTCTGACAGTCGGATTCTAGTCCGAAATATGGCTGCTCAAGATCAGGAACTTGACATTGAATTCCAAGAGATACTCTCACACTCCGATCAATATGTACGGCAGTAATGATGCTCACATGAAACAAATGACCAATTCACAATATTCGAAGCACAAAACTAACGACTAACTGTTAAACTACAAGTGCAGTATCTAACTGTTCTTCCTCTGTGTTGATCGATGAGATTCTAAACTGAGACAAACTGAGAGATGTGCAAAAGTAGTTGTAGCGACAAGACCAAATATTTTCATCTCGAAAGACGAATATGCTACATTGTTACTGCCAGCTGCATGAATTGAATCCATATGTAAGTAGACAAGTTCCCACTAAATTTAACCATGGACTTTCTAGCTCCGTGCTTACATCTGAAAGTAGCTCATCAAGATGTCAAGTTTGATTCAATAATGAATTCGACATTCTCTTAAAGAACTTTTTGTTCTGAAGGTGAAACTATCAAAAACACATACATGTTTTCCAAACGAGACAAAGACACCGAGACCACCTTAGGCTAACAGCGGTTTCTATTGCGTCGTTCCAGATGGTCTTACCTTTATCTCGAATATATGGACAGAATGAAGAGTTCTATTTTAGAGAAAAAAACAGCAAGTACAGAAAACGTTATATACGAAGTCATCTTTGTATTGAAAAGGGTTGCTAATAATCAAGAGATAGTAAAGCAAAGAAAAAGAAAAGGAAATCAATGATTACTTTTTTTAATAACAAGTGTCTATTTGACGTTGCCATTAATGAGCTGCTAGCTCTTGGTTGATGATAACTCTGAGGCGCTTTTTCATTTTATAACACATAGGATGATATGTAGCTCCAGTCAGACCCACATGTGCGTAAGTGAATCAAAAGAGAAGTTCAATTGTTTGCATACTTAACGCTGAATATGAATGAATCGAGAACTTAATCAAGATATGTTCAAGTAACGATACATTGGTATGAGTCATGACTTATGCAAACATTTGAGTATTGAAATTCTCTTTTCCCACATTCACACTCACACCACAACTCTCAAGACGATATAGTGTAGGTGTATCACAAAATATTAATCGTCTCTAAAACGCCGAGATTGCTCCGAAGTCTATAAAGGATCAATCCTTCAATTTTTTTTTTGTTGTCAGATCTAGATAGGAAACTTTTTATGGTTATTTTACGTTGCCAGAAGGCTGATGAATAAAAAAGAGATTAGTCCGAAAAGAATCAGTATTAACGTAGCAGAAAATGAAAAGCAAAATTGCGGGTCCGGGTGGAACTACAATAAGCATTCAAGAGTTAATGTAGAAGTAGGAAAAGTTGCATCAGCATGAAGGGCAATGCTAAACTAATTTTGATTGAAGTTGATGCTGTAGAAGGTTTTGATGTTGTCGAAGGATTCGATGTTGCGCCAGGATCTTCAGTTGATGCTGTAGGAGGTTTTGATGTTGCGCCAGGATCTTTAGTTGCCGGGCAATTGAGATCTGAGGTCCAATCGTCACTACCGACACAATGTTTACATACGAGTAACCCCAGTGGATCCACCTTATCTTTGATGGCTTTCAGTCGATTATAAATAGTTTGTGAACCGAAAAAATTCTCCTGCCAGTTTACTTCATTGGGATTGGCTTCGTTTGTGTAGCAACTTGATTGTGAACCTATGGATAATTCGTCTAACATTTCTGCTCGACGTGTAACTTGTGTAGCTAAGCACTCTTGAATATTTATGGGTGTTGTATCTAACCAACCCTCAGCATAGACCATATGCAGGAGAGCAGTACGCCACCCTGGATTGACACTGTTATTCTTATTGATCATGTTTGATACTTGTCCACCGGCAACAATATGCCCGCGCAAAACTGATCGATTTAACGATTGGCCACGTGCTCGAACAAAAACTTCTGCAACTTTTTCCGGTAAATAACGAATAGTATTTTCAGCAATGAGACGAGAACTGAGTAGGGCATTGAATCCAGTAGGATTGGCGCTTTCTAATACACCTGCAAAGTAATCATAAAATGATGGCAAACTAAATACCCGTGTCTTTCCGAAGTCTAAATCGGTATTTTTAGCTGCAAATTGATCTAACGCGTAAGTAACTGCTGTCAAATCTCCGTTGGGTACATGAAATATGCCGTTGATTCTCATATCTGACATGTCGAAATAGCCAGACCATCCCTCATCAGTAACTGTTGGTAAAAACCGAGTGACCTCTTCGATCAATCTTCTATAGCGAGCTTCATTTGGTGCAGTTAAATCATATGTAGCAGCAACAATAGTTGGAGAAGGAAAAGTTCTTATAACTGCAGAAAGTACAATTGCATAAGTACCTCCACCTCCACCTGTTAATGCCCAAAATAGATCGCCATTTTGACATGGGCTTACGGTTAAGTGTTCTCCACTCGCAATCACAACATCGTATTCGAGGACTTGATCGGTCGCCAAGCCCTGCCAACGCGATAGTGGACTATGACCACCACCTTGAAGAAAGCCGCCAGCCACACTTACAGTGCCTGATGCTCCACCAATTGCTGTTAAATTGAATTTATTTAGCCATTGATAAGCTTCACTCCATTGAACGCCTGCACCTATTCGAGCAGCATTTGATACAGTTGCATGGCTACAAGATGAATATTGTTCAATTAGTGTCATGTTTTTCATTTGATGAAGCCATAAAAGCAGAGATCCAGCTGCCGTTGATCGACCTAAGTAATCATGTCCAGTACTTTTGATAACTAAGCGAAGATTATTCGTAGCAGCGAATCGAACAGTTTCTTGAACATGTTTGAGTAGTGTTGCCATAACAGCGAATACGGGGACAGAGCCTTGATTGCATGTTGTGCTGTTTACCGATATTGAACATGAACTGTTTTCCCAGTTATGATTTTGCATTGCACCAACTTGATCAGCACGCCATGTTGAATTATACCATTGTGCAGCCGCTAAAGCACATGCCTGAGCATTATACGTTTTACCATTGCATACAGCAGCGGATGGCTCAGCTGAAAGAAGACGTCCATCAATAGTGTTATTGAATAATTGCCACGTAGAAGAATTTGGCCAACATGATGAGTTGCTAATAAGACAACGGCAACGGCGCTCTGCGATAGAATAATACAATTAATAGGTTCGATATGAGATGATTTAATAAGAATGGCCTACCTCCTACAACCAACTGTTGACTTACAGTGATCATGATGAAGTACGTGACCATAAAGACAACACGAAGCGACATATTGTGCATAATGTCTGTTATATTGACTAACTGATTTCATACATATCTGTGAGTCGTATATATATATATATAGAGCATATCATTCACTTTTTAATAACTTAGCATATCTTAATACTGCAGAATTTGTATTGACGTCTTTAATACGTTATGTCATCAGTAACCTGACGTATTAAAATAACAAGAATACCTTACCTCCGATTGTAACCTTGATACTATGTCATCAATACACAACATAGACAAACTTACAGAAACAATTTTTTGATCCTGAAGAAGCTGTGATTACTAAAGCAAACCTTCTCAATATCCTCATTGACTGTTTGCAATGCAAACTTTTAAAATGCGTCAGAACAGATTATGTTAGATAATACCATATTCTCAGAAGTGTTCAGATAAAATTCACATACATCCAGTTTTTAATGTAGCTTATCTTGAATAAGAAGTTTCTATATTCTATTTCATTCTATTTACTTAAGCAGACGGCTCCTTCCATCAGCTCTTTTTGCCGCTTTTGGAGAATAACTTGCCATTAAAAATTTGATATTTACTCTATAGGGTAGATTGATCTGGATGATGAGTGTAAGATTTGTCATTTTTTCTTTAAATTCCTTTCAACTATTGAAGAGTGATTAAATGCTTGTGTGAGTATTGAACGACCATCGGCTGTTCGATTTCGAGTAAAATTCAATAAAACAAAAATTAAAGAAGTCCCTAAAAAGATCGTCTTTGGATTACATTAATTAACGTTTGGAATTTTTATTCATGTTCCTATGCATCGTCAATTACTCCTAGATGTCAAAGAAGAGTGAACATAGTGTGTAGTTCTTTATTCATCATCTATACGAAACTCCTTCTTATCTATCAATATTATTCATTTTCTTCTGCCTCTTTCGATTAATTTTAGTTTTGTTCTATTCTTAATTATTTTAATATGAGGCAAAAATCTAAAGCTCACAAGCAATCATATAGAACACATCTTTTGAAACCATCTCAACAACACAAACATCGATTATTGATCCTCCTTACTTTGATTGTCATTGCTATTCCTGGTTTTATTATTTGATTTCTTTCTGAATGTATAAAATCAGCATCCAATTCTTGGCTGTGTTTTGAAAGGTATTATGTTTCTTTCATTCTCCCATTACTTGTATTCATAATTTGTGTTGTACCGATCGAATTCTATCGAAAAGAATGCAATGAAGCTACAATTCATATTCTAAAAACAATGTGCAGTTTCGATTTCGACGACAGTAATTACCATGCTAAGAATAAATTATATTTCCAATGCTTTAATTTCAAGACTAACTTGTTTTCTTTGTACTTGTTTTGCTATTGTAAATGTCTGACTTCGGGTGAAGAAAAAAAACACATCCATGCCAGTACTGCTATAAACTGTTTCCATTCTTGAAAATAAATATAGTACACAAGATGCAGTGCATTCGAAGCTTCCTCACTATATATTTAATATGTTAATAAAACAAAAGAATCGACGGGAGCATTTCAAACGGAGCACATCGTAGTTTCCAAAAAGATAAATTTTCACATTTCATAATCATTTAGTGATGATCATTTACTTGTACTCATAGAGTATTTAAATTAATATCTAATAACATATGTGAATTATCTTCAGTAAAAAAATCCACGTGAACTTATCATATCCAATGAGAATGTTTTTTTATATGGATTAGGATGTGGAGAAAACTAAATATCCACGTGTTAATATAATGTAGGTCTTCACTTGTGTCACAGCCTCATACTACCTTGGCAATAGATCCAGAAAGAGCATGGATGCATTCAATTCGTGAATTCAATTACAAAATACTCGACATCGTTGTTTTTAGTTGCCTCTGAAAAGACTATGATGAAAAATGTTCATATCACTAAGAAATAATCTAATCGGTACAAAGTTATGACTTATTCTTATAATACTATCTGGTACTCTAGTTGATCTAAATTATAATTGCAGAAATTCCATGTCTATTATCCATTTCAAGATAGCATGGGCAGCAAAAGCATTGGTTTAATACGTTTGAAACACAAGTAGCTATCAAAAAACGATTTTCTTCATACGAAAGTCCTCTATGGAACAAGTAAGTCGTTTATAGAAAGAAAGACTTTCACAGTATTTTTCTAATGCGTTTCGGAACGGTTGTCTGGAAAAGTACTTCGTCTCTTCACATAAATTCAGTTGATTTTCAATCCCAAGCGATTCTTTTATCGGGTTGGAAATCTTCTTTGCATGTACATCAACCAGCATAGACATCTGAATACAACATTTACAACTATATCCTCAATCACAATATACGAAAATAAAAAAGCATAATCAAATGAGTAAAATTTAAATCCAAATAGTAATATCCATGGTACGCTACTGGCAGAAACAATCATTATTTACCAAGAATTATTCATGAAATAAAAAGTTGCATAGCTTATTATTAGAAGTAATATGATAAGATGATAGATTTCTTTAGCAATCATATTTAAATTGATGCACATAAGAAAATTCAAAATGTCTTATATAGATCTTAGAATTAATTAATTGTTAGGAAAAACGAATTGTTTTTATTGTACAAGGTTATATAGAAATACGTGACAGGCTGTTTGAATAATATATTAAATAGAGATTTTTCAAACTGATAAAAACAATTCTCATATTGCATTGTTGTAAAATATTATCAGATAAGAATAATAAATATGCGAGAATGACGTCAATCAAAAGGAAAAAAAGCAGTGATTAAAGAATAAAATTGACTGTGACTATCAACATTTGGCAAGATGAATCAAAGAAAAACTAATTTTAACAAACAACGACTTATATGCATCGATATAAATAATATGTGTTACTAGTGAATTTACAATGAATATTGCTTGCTTGAAGCATTGTTATTTTTAAACAAGAATGATAATTATACCTGAGCAGTTAATTTTTATTTCAATCACGCAAACAGAAAACTATTCGATTGATATCCAAGATGAAACAAGGCTTTCGACACGTTTGCATAGTTGTAAAATTTTAAATATTATTATTTTTCACTTAATGACAATGATCGAGATGCTTTTTGTTTTCAAAATATTTTGTACTAGACTACCTCATGGACACTCTATTGGTTGATGGTTCGAATCCGCTTATATTTTATTCGTTATTTCTAAATGCATTGTGCTCTGCTTTTTTTTTTATAACAGGATCCTTTATTCAGAATCAATACAATTCGAACAGTGCACCTGCTGAATCTTATACTGGTTACTTTTTAACTTGTTAAAGCCTCAGATTTGAATCCACATTGCATTGTATATATGGTCATAGGACTCTCTTTCGAGATATGAAAATTAAACGTTGTTCAATTTTCAGTTTTCCATCACTAATATAGTCCAGAGATATCCACTGTTAAATGCCATATAAATGAGGGATCTTTATTGTTTGTTATTAAGTTTATTAAATCCAACTTTTAGAATCCCTAGTAGAAAACTCCTGCCAGAATTGTTCTATTCTACGCTAAATTTCTTATGATGATTTCCCAACACAAAGATATTTGATGTATGAGTCATGGATTCTTAACACCACCGAATGAGGCCAGTTTTTCATCAATCTAATTGACAAAAATGCAAAAAATTGTCTTCCATTTTTACATCATACCATGCTTGATGGAGCTGAAAATTTATTTTACGATTGTTCGACACTGTTTAGTATGCTTAATTATATTTATTTTGACAAATATTGCTCTGCTAATTTTTTGGTAAATTTCATCTAAAAAAAAAGCATTAGTTTTTGAGAGCACGCTTCGCATTTAGGCCGTTTTATTCGAATGAAACGACAGAAAAAATAGGCATCCGAAATGGTGTCTAGTATATGCAAAAAACAAGTTGGGTGGATGCGGGGTAGAGTCCTGCGACTTCAAAAATTACCCGAAACTGGAACTGGCGGTTTCGATTATCGAAAATGAAAAAAGCGGTTCCATTTTCGGGTTCCTAAAATCTGTTTCAGGAACCGATGCTTTTACAATAATATGAAAAATGCCGAGTCATAGAGTTTTTTTACAAATTCCTTTATTCCATTTTTGAGATTGTTCATGTTTATTATTTCGTCAAAAAAGCAACTTCTTCAAAAAGTAAAAGAAAATAATGAAAGAATGAAGAAAAACACTTTAACATAATATTTTCATAGGAAATTATTTATATTGCAAGTACTAAAAAAAATCTATTTCATTATTTTCTTTATCTTCCTCATAATCATCATCAGTCAGAAGAATATCATCTTTGTCACTCATTTTAAACTTCTTTATTGTTTTAGTAATGGATTGTTCTTGGTGCTTATAGGAGATTGTAGAAGATGGCTGCTCAAGCATCTTTCTTTTTGTTTCAGCTGTATTACTTTCAACAAATTGTTACCCATACTGGACCTCTCTTATATGTGCCACCCGTAAGAAATACTCAGAGTGTAACCACTACAGAGATCATAAGCCGTTTCGACTTAAGATTACGTTGCATTTGATTGGTTCGTTGGTTACCATAAAAAGAATTTTCGGTTCCAACGTTTCCGGTTCCGGTTCTATCCTCTTTTATTTCACGATTCCGGTTCGGTTCTCGGTTCCATTTTTTTTAAACCACAGGGCTCTAGTACGGGGTATCGCTGTGAGTGAATCAACATCTTCACGTCACCTACACACACCCACATCCTCAAGGATATTGAGTAATGATACTTGAAGAATATTTCCAAGAATGATTTGAATTGTCTCAACTGATTATAACTGCAAACGAATTAATCTTCAATAAATTTTTTTTTGTAATATTGAATTAAACATAAACGAGATTAGTTGCTTCAGTTTTAAATAGAGTCTCGGCAAAAATATTTTCAAGAGCACTATGATAACTAGTTTGATTATTAGTAGCAAATTTACGAAAGATCTTATTTCGTGGAGATCATTTATTCACTTCGAAAATCTTGTTAACAGATTTGAAAAAACTTATCCGTTTATAGACAATTATCAGATATTATCTATCAGATC